ATTTGTTATGCAATGTTTTTAAAACAACTTTCTCTCAGACGTCACCATAATCCAAGCTACCGTTAAACCTCCAGTTGCTTGAGTAATAATGCCGTTTTTTTTGAAAAAATGCGAAAAAAGTTCAAGGTGACCAACTTCAAAAAGGCATAAAAAATTCAAATTTTCTCGTACTGCGTTCAAACTTTGGATTTGAACAGGTCAATAGTATATAATGATAGAAAAAATAGAATGGAGGAAGAAATGCAAATTTTTCAATTTTGTCTAATGGCCAGCCATTCCCCACTGTGCAACGCACAGTGGTTGAAAAGTCCATTTTGACGCTCTTAATTAATAGCACCATTTAGAGTAATGACGTCTTCAGCAAAGTTGATAAGTTTAACATGCTTCATCTTTTGAAGGCATGGGTTTTGTGATTAATCCCCCTAAAAGTGAAATGGAAAAATTATTATTTTACAATGTCGAGATAAATGGTTGACGTCTTGAGCAAAGTTATAGCAAAAAAAGTTACAAACAACTTTTCTGAAGACATAAAAGTCGTAAATTCCACTCAAATCGAGATAGAGAGCGTTGTTTGAGAACAGACCCCCAAAAAACACGTTTTTCATCAAAACACATATTTTCTTCAATTTTAGGTCTTCACTATGTAGAACAAAATTGATTTGTATACTAAAATACACATATTTCTTGAACACACTATACCTGCATCATTTTAATAGGATGAGTTATTGATAAATTTTCTTCTAATTTCCTCATATTTTGGACTTGCGTATCGTTTTTAGGTGCAAGAAGGTGCAGATGAAAACAAATGAATCAAAAACTACATTAAAAGACCTTTCAAACGGTGGTAAATTTGTCCGTCCACGACCGTCTGCTGGAGAGTTGTGATCAAAACAAGTATCCATATCTTTACTCTGTTGTATGATTTAACCAGAGTAAAAAAGATTATCAACTTCAATATATCCACATATTTTTCTTAATTAAATTCTTTTTGTTCGATTGGTTTTGCATTTTTGTTGTCAATATTTTGTATTGTTTTCTATTATTATTATTATTATCATAATCATAACCATTAATATAATCATTTACGTTTCCATTAGCTTCTTCTGCTAGCAGTTGTTTAGCATCACTCCAAAATGACTTTTCGTACTTTTTAGGCAATCCACGAATACTAGTAATCAATGGATCTGATGAGCCAGTTCAATAGATCACGATTTTTAAGCGATCTTGATTGCTTGCGGGTATTGAACTCGCGGTTTCTGTTAAATAAAAGTTTCCAGGTTACCAGGTTCGATAGGTTGGAGTCGATTAACAAAGCCAAAGCTTGTAGATCTGTGTATTTGGGTATAGGGTTACTCAAGAACTTCTTCAAAGAATGAACCAACTTATGTTCATCTGCAGGACTTGCGTGAGACATTCTTCGAAAGGAACAACCTTCCGTCCTGTCACACTTTTCGCATATTTAGAAGTAGACGGAAGGAAGTTTAAAACGTTTTCCGGAAGCGTGAACGGCTTACTGAAATACTCGGTGTGACACTTGACAACCATGCACGAGCATGTCTGGTCCAGAGCTTTTGAAAAAAAGTCGCACATCGTTTTCATGGGTCTTCCGACATGTGCAGCCACATCCGGCATAATATTCACATTTATGACATAACACTGAAGTACCGCCTCATAAACGCAGTTGAATTTTGATGATCGGCCTCCACTCGTTTTTGACCATAGTGGCAAGAGATCACGCTTACCAATTTCAACTTAAATTGAATCTAGAAAAAAACAAATCAGTAGCACTTGTTGTGATCTAACGATGAATTGAAAAATTTAAAATAAATTAAGCCCTACCAGATAATGCCATTTTACTTCAAAGTCCTGCTCTCGTAGCTTCTTCTGCTGTCCGGTTTCTTTGGCAGAATTAGTCTCTATCTATCCTTCGCTTGGCTTCCGCAGTTCTTCTATCTTACATTCATATACTTTCACAATTGCTTCACGCTTGATGAAAAACAGCGATGAGCACTATGGAAAAAACACTTATAGACTCACAAGTTTAACTGAATGTGACAGATTTTTTCGTTCTTGATGCTTCAGTTTTACCTTCTGGGAACCGTTTCAAAAGAAAATGTGCAGTTCTTGAATTTTATAAGCTCTGAGAAGTGTTTATGGAGCCGGTTACTATGGAAACGAATTTATTACGCGGTAGAAAACACAGTATCCCCTTGTTATTTACATGACTTCTATAAAGCCTATCAACGGGTGTTTGTTTTGATAACAACTCTCCAGCAGACGGTCGTGGACGGACAAATTTACCACTGTTTGAAAGCTCTTTTAATGTAGTTTTAGATGCATTTGACTTCATCTGCACCTTCTTGCACCTAAGAAAGATACGCAAGTCCAAAATATGAGGAAAATAGAAGAAAATTTATCAATAAAATGATGCAGGTATAGTGTGTTCAAGAAAGATGTGTATTTTAGTATACAAATCAACTTTGTTCAACATAGTGAAGACCTAAAATTAAAGAAAATATGTGTTTTGATGAAAAACGTGTTTTTGGGGGTCTGTTCTCAAACAACGCGCTCTTTCGCGATTTGAGTGGAATTTACGACTTTTATGTCTTCAGCAAAGTTATTTGTAACTATTTTTGCTATAGCTTTGCTGAAGACGTCAACCATTTATCTCGACATTGTGAAAAAATTAATTTTTCATTTCACTTTAGGGGGATTAATCACAAAACCCATGCCTTCAAAAGATAAAGCATGTCATACTCATCAACTTTGTTCAAGACGTCATTACTCTAAATCCACTCTCCATGGTGCCATTAATTAAGAGCGTCAAAATGGACTTTTCAACCACTGTGCAACGCAAATAGTAATCAATCTTGAAATAAATTCAAGCTAAAAAAGTCGAAAATAGTGACTAATTACAAAAAAAAAGTGACTTTAGTGACATGGTCTTAAAAAAAGAGACTTTTTAGTGACTAACTTGAAAAAAGTGACTCGCTACCAGCCCTTCCATTCACGAAATTGGAACAACAGGGAGTTGGCAATTCCACTCTCTCCATCCAAATCGTTTCAATCAGACCATTTTAAATATACGAATGGTACTGCCAACGGCGACTACGATGATGACAACCGGGAGGGACTGCATACGTACAAGGTGCAGAAGGCTCCAAATCGTGAAGAACGGCAAAATACGGTGGGAGAGTCACGGGCCCGGAAACTGTACACCCAGATGCTGAAGAAGGCTAATTGTCTCATCATGGATGATGAGACTTACGTCAAGGCGGACTTCCGGCTGCTTCCGAAGCTACTGTTCTTCACCGCCCAGTACAAGTTTGATGTTCCGGAGGAAATAAGGAAGCAGAAACTTTCGAAGTTTACCAAGAAATACCTGATTTGGCAAGCGATCTGCTCATGTGGCAAACGGAGTGCGCCGTTCGTGACTACCGGGACTATAAATGGAGAGATCTACCTCAAGGAGTGTCTACAGAAGCGTCTGCTTCCTCTGTTGAAGCAACACAAGGGCCCTTCGACCTTCTGGCCCGATCTAGCTTCGTGCCATTATTCAAATGTTGTCCTGGAGTGATACGAAGCCAACTGGGTCACTTTCGTACCACTCCCCAAACGCACCGGCACTAAGGCCCATCGAAAAATACTGGACTATTATGAAGCAGGCTCTACGGAGAGCATCCCAAGGAGGTCAAATCTGAAGAAGACATGTAGAAAAAGTGGGTTTCCGTACAGAAGAAGCTGCAGCCAGATGTTGTACAGAACCTTATGAGTGGAGTTAAGCGTAAGGTGCGAGCGTACGTTTATGGTATTGAAATTTAATGAAATAAATATGCCAAAAGCTTGCTAATAGGTTATATTATATTGTCTAATAGTTGGAAAAGGATAGGTCAACTAGGTAATTTTTTAGAGCGTTTTTTCATTGATGCAATTTGATGTGGGACACCCTTTATGGAGCTATTTTTGCATTGTTAGGTTGGTATCATTGATTTGTATCGATTTGATCAGCGGATCAACCCCGCTAATCCGGCCACAAATTTGTCGGATTAGCGGGGGGATACCACAGAGACCTAGCCACTTAAAAGTGCCCTACATATTTTAAAGCTATTTTACAGTACTATTTAATCTGCTCGAAGTCCAAACATCGTCATCCTTAGTACTGCATGGTTAACATTTAGGAAATACACATAGGTTGATGGCACTTTGTGTGTAGCGTCGGTTTATGTTTTATTTATGGAATTGTCAAAACATGCGACGCCTTTCGCGGTTTGATGAAGAAGGAAGAGCAAGCGAACACTTGTCAGTACTAGATAATCCGAATGTTTAGCAAATTTTAGCATATGTATAACCGTGCGGGGCGGCTGACGATCCCTTTCCGTCGTTGTCGTCGTCGTCCTTGTCGCAACGGAGCAAAGTTTCCTAGACTCATAGAAATCCCAGTCGTAGCGAGTTGAGCTTGAATGCGTTCCGTTATAGCAGCGGTGTAGATTTATGGGTTGGAACATAAACCAGAGCACGATGAGTGATTTATGGGCGCGCATTTCAGTCATAAGCTCCTCAACACTATGCATGATGTCACATGTTCAGATGAGGAAAGTTCTGTCGAGCGGGTTGCTTTTTATGCTTTGATAGTGCACGTTCCTTGCGGTTGAGTCTTTTGTACATTGTGTAATTCATTGCTGACAGAAAGGAGAAGATGAGAAGGGAGGGCAGCTTCCGAAATTGTTGACTCGGATTGAGGGCTGAAACACACAGCAACATACAATCTCATTCGACGTGTTGTTGAATTAATGGCGCTTATTATACTTTTTGGGTGAAACTAGAAGGATAATGAATGAATTTTTGTTGGTACAGACAAATGCTTATTCAAATCGGTCGAACTCACATTTTTTCGATCTTGATTGCTACCGTCTTGAATACAATTTTCGATTTGAGCAGTTTCCCTATCCAGGTAATTTCGTTTCCGTTATTTAAAATGTGTCATCATTCTTCATCCATAGGTTTCTCCTCGGCACAAAGTCAACTACGACGACAGTATGAGACCAATCGCCGAACATCTAGTGAGGGTGCCGTTCGTGAACGGGAAGGTCCGGTGAAAGTTCTACCAGTACGGGAGCCTGTCCGGGAACCAGTCCGGGAGTCAGTCAAGTCTGCTCCAGCTGCATCCGAAGAAATTGATCCAGAACTGTCGGAAAACTGTCCGGAGCCCAACGGGTACTTTGCCGATGCGGAACAGTGTGATAAATATTATGCATGCCGTTACGGGCAAATTACCGAAAAACTGTGTCCGGATGGTATGGTGTTCAACGACTACGATATCGATCAGGAGAAATGCGATCTGCCGTTCAATATTGACTGCAGCAAACGACCGAAGCTTCGTATGTCTACTCCGTAAGTTTGTGGAATGCTCTCTGAATAAATACTTTTTTAATGATTCTAGAAACTCCCATACCCTCGATGCATTGTCCTCGTCAGAATGGATACTTCGGCAGCGAGACAGGGGCATGTGACAAGTTCTATTACTGTGTAGATGGAAAGTTCAATATGATCATCTGCCCGGCGGGACTGGTCTTCAATTCAAAAACCGGAATATGCACATGGCCCGACGAAGCTGGCAAGAGCGGATGCACTTCCAAAGATGTGTTCAACTTTTCTTGCCCAAAGGTGGATGAAAGCGTCGGCCTAACTCACCCGAGATATGCTGACCCCGATGACTGTCAGTTCTTCTATGTGTGCATCAATGGTGATGTTCCGCGTCGCAATGGCTGCAAGCTGGGACAGGCGTTCGATGAGTCCACCAAGCACTGCGAATGGGCACGAAAGGTTCCAGATTGGTAATTTAATGATAATCGTTAATTTGGTGCTGATCAAAATGATCTTCATAAAATTCTTTGTCAAATTACAGCGCCGATTGGTACAAGGACCGTTTGACAGATGCCCAATTGGATGATCTGGAGAATCCACCCACCACCAAGGCTCCTGCACCGAAGGGACCATCGAAAGTTTCCCGTCGTCGGCCGTCCAAGCGACCGAAGCAGCCTGTGGAGGACGAAGAGGAGTAACAGGTGTTACTCGTATCCAAATTTAACTCTTTTCTCTTGAAATACTCATAATAAAATGCTCCTCTTATGTCTGAATAAGACTATCAGTACTGTAATTTATTGATTTCTTTCACCTGTAGAAAATGTACTCAATAAAAATAGATATTAATTAGATTTATGTAAACCAGGGTTTTATTTCATTGATGGGTTAGTGGATGGTCTGCTTGATTTGGCCAGTTTCGGAGTAGGAATTGGAAGTTGTGGGATTTCCAAACAAAACGATGATACGAGATTACGAAGCTATTTAATATGGCAAAATCAAAATTTTGAGAAAATGATTTTTCAATATATTTTTGTCAAATCATTTTAATGTCAAAAACAGCGAATCCAAACACATAAAGCAACCAACGATACAGACAAAACGGTTGCTACGACTACCATGACAAACTCGCTCTGTAACATAGCTCGATCCGAGTGGTAGAAGGATAATGATATATTGCTTGCCTGCTTTGTTGCAATATACACGGATGAGGACATAGCTTGATATGAATCGAGAAAAAACATAACAAAAAAAATCCCATTAATGTGGACCGTACACGATTGCTTTTATTGACAATAATCGTATTGTCAATAAATTCAATATTGACGTCAATACATCGGTATTGACAATATTTCTGTATTCACATCATCAATATTAATGTCAATAATTTCCCTTCGCGTCAATATATTGATACGTGTGGGGTTTGCTTAACACACGTGTAGCATGATCGGCTTTACTTCGTGAAGCAGATTGCCAACAATTTGCTCGTTTCCTTCTACTGCCCCGAGTGAGTTGTGTCGCACGCGCTGCTTGTCATGAAAAAGAAGGAAGAAGATTATATTATTATTGCTTTGCACTTCTGACATAGCGCTATTATTCGGTTCGTTGATCGCTTGTCATTTTGTCTTTTGGAGATATTTTTGATTCCTTGGTCAAAAATATATCCATTTCGAATACAAAACGTTTTGACAGCTCTTAAGACCACCCACATTAGACCCGTTTGCATTGCGTTGAAGTAAATTTGACAGACAATATATTTAGCTGTTACTTTGCCGCAACGCGTCAGATCCGGTTCAAATAGGTGTGGCCCTTAAGGGTGGATCTAGATTGGAACTAGTTTCGCCCTGAAGCAAAAGCTAGATGAGGAGAGATGATTGATTTGTATAGCTGTATTTTACTGGCAATATTGAAATCGTTTTTCTATCGACATAGACTTCCATACTTCTTGGCAATTTTCTTGATGACAGTTGAACTTAAGTTTGTCATCAATAATCACGCCAAGATATTGAATCACCCGAACGCGATCAATAGGTAAAAAGGTAAATGAATCATTAAACAATGATGATGTTCCTTACAAAGTAAAAAAAATCTCCTTAAAATAGATCGGGTTGCTCCTTAAATTATTGATCAAAATACGTTAAAAATCTTAAAATGCTCAGTAAATATTTAAAGTACGCTCCCTAAAATAGAGAAAACTGTACATTAAGCATTTGAAAATTCTTCTTAGTATGCACCGCTTTGCACCATTTTGAAGTGTAATTGTACCATATATCATCGGAAAAGCTGCTGTAGAAAGGTTAATAAGTACCATGAAATCAGCTGAAATGTTCAGTAAAAATGCACAAATGCACACAATGAGCAAGTAGGGCTGCCCGATCAATAGTCTCATCATCAATTGCAACAGAGATGTTCTCATTTACGCGATTCCGCGAAATAACCATAAATTTAGTTTAACTTGTATTCAATTTCAACTGCTTATACTTCAACCATCTATTTAGAGTACGCAAATCTTCATTAAAGTGTAAAACGACATCATCTAAATCCTTAGCTGCAATGAATAAAACAGTATCATCTGCTAAAAGATTAATGTCGCAAAATCGTAAAACATGTCGCAAGTCATTAATATGCATAATAAATAACAGGGGCTCCAATACACTTCCCTAGGGTACATCAAGATTATTCCTCACGGGACTGGAAACAAAATCATTAAAAACAGTTCGTTGAGTTCTGTCAGACAAATAGCTTTCAAACCATTTATATGCAGTACTCGTAATTCCAATGTGCTTGATTGTAACCTAACAGTAAGGGCCTAGAAATTGTTTCAAAAGCGCGTTTAAGATCCAAAAAAACAGCAACAATCGTATCTTTACACTCCAAGTTATTTTTCCACTTCGCTTATACCAAATTCAACGTGGTTTCACAAGAATGACTTTCCCGATATCCCGATTGTTCTGGTATCAACAAAGAGTTGCTATTCAAATACTCCAAATGCTGGCCTATTACAACGGGTGCTAAAATTTTCTCTAATGTGTGCAACATGTTGATAGGACGAAACTCTTCGGTTTTAATCGTTCCAGTTACCTTTTGAATAGGAACCACTAAGGGTTCCTTCAAAATTTGTGGCACATTCCCAGTCTGTAACGATTCATTAATAAGGTCCAGCAAGATGTGGCCAATGACATGAAAGCAATCTTGAATAACTCTAGCATTAACATTATCTACTCCAGCCGATTTTCCTAATGAAAAACAAATAACTCTAAGTTCATCTAATGTGATTGGGTGAAAAACTTCAAATCTACAACTACTATTAACTGGCTGTTTTATTTCGTCAGGTTCATCGACCAATTCAATAGATTGATTAATCAATGAAACGCTATCTACGAAATAATCATTAAACTTAGCTGCAATTACTTGTTCTGACTGTTCTAATGTGCCATTAAAAGTTATGGACCGCGGGTTGCAATTACTAGGTTTTAATAAAGATTTCAAAATTTTCCATAACTCTTTGCTGTTGTTTTGATGCTGATCAATCTTCCTTTGAACATATTCACAACGAGTTTTCTTTATCGATTGTGAATACTTATTACGCGCGATTGTGTACCTAGTCCAATGATTGTCATTATTAGATCTACAAAACTTTTTGTACAATTTGTCCCTTTTCCGTTTAAGACGCAAAAGATCCAAATTGTACCAGCTGTTCGAGTTTTTCAAAGAAACAAACTTTTGCTCAACTAGTTGATTGGTACACGTTTTTAAAGCGTTATTAAGAACAGCTGTAGATTCATCTAAGTTACCGGCCGCGAATGGAAAATCCAGGCTTCTCTCAACAAGATTCGAAACAGCTTGCTTCGAATATTTCCTCCAGCACTTCAATTTTACAAAATTATCGTTATCGTTAACATGGTCTAAGACATTAATCACTAAAGTCTCATGATCGGTTATTTTCAAATCAGTATCCGTAACTGAACAAATGGAATCAAAATTGGAATAAACGTGGTCAATTAAAGTTCTACTGTGCCTGGAAATACGCGTATATTCATTTACCGTTTGCTTTAAATTAAAAAACTCAGCTAAACGCTTCAAATGATTCGAATTATGGTTATCACGCCAATTAATATTAAAATCACCAGCCAATATATTTAATTTACTAGAATCAAGGAATGTCTCGAGCCAGTTCTCTAAAACTTCAACAAAACGCTGGTCACTAGAACTGGGAGAATGATACAAAACACCATAATTACCCATCTTCATGCCACGTACAACTGTAATGCCCAAGAACCAGTTGCCATCAATAACTTCGTTGGTACGAAGGTTGAATTGAACTGATTCTTTGACATAAATAGCAACACCGCCAGTGTGTCTAGAATGTGATAAACAAGCAGCAACAATATATCCCAAAATACTATACTGATCAAAAGCTTCAGTTTCTACAATATGAGTTTCAGATAATAAAACTAAAAGAGGACGTTTTTCCTCAACAATCTGACGTAATGCTACGTAGTTTGTTGACAACCCCGCAATATTCAAGTATAAAAAATCGAATTGATTCACATTCCTGGAACTTGGCTGCTATTTATTGAAACGCAAGCTGCTTTTCTTCTGATCAAAAAGTCTTTTATAAAGCAAACATTCCGAGCTAAATGCGGCATGGTTGACGTCCAAGTTCATTTTTCGTTCTTTATTCGTTTTCAAACAATTAATACATTTCAATACAGTTGACGTACACTCCGACGTTTTGTGTTGTTGGCTGCACCTAGAGCATCTATCACAATTTTTGCAATCCATGCTCTTGTGCCCAAATTCTCCACATTTGAAGCATCTCAACACATTAATCGCGGGAACTATCGAGCACCGATCAAACCCTACATTTACTTTTTTCGCACATAACAAACATTTATAAGTATCGACATCGACTTCAATTACAACACTAAACTTGTTATAAGTGAAGCGTGGATTTTCAAACATGTTCACTACTTTAACATCATTTATAGCGATGTCTTCATTTTGACTTTTTAAGTAGTCAATGAAGACATCGGAGGAAAACTGATCGCTCATGCCCACTATTTTCAATCTTGGCACCGAAGTGGGAACAACAGCACTATATTGTTCACCCAGATTGCTTTCAATACCAGTTTTTACATCATTTAGATTAGCTCCTGTTGCACACTCAACAATAATAGAGCCATCTTTACCATTCCTAAAATTACTGATTTTGTGTGTTTTTGGATCCAACTGAGTTTTCAAAAACTTACGAGTATCTTCGCAAGCTTGTTTGGACTCTTTTGGTTTGATCACAATGACCGGACGAGTCTTACGATTACTCTGTTTGTTACTGTTACTGTTAATGTTACTGTTAATGATAGTGGTTTGGTTTTGATCCAGAGATGATGGATTTTAATTCGTAACGCCAATCGATTGGAAATTTTTCTACGAATGAGAATAAGACTATCAATTTACAAAAGGTCGCTATTGAAAATTTCACGAATGTGCAACTGTTGCGATAGTAACCAAAATTATCACCGATTGCTTGCAAAAAGCACTTTCCCTAACACAGATTTAAAAATTCCCTCCTGTCTCGTCGAACGGTGTTTACTCAATCACCGTGCGTGGTGAATGGTGATGTCCGATCGTCATCAGCAGCAGCAGTGCTTTCGGCGCGTGGCATTTTCCAGTACATAATGAAAGGCTGCCCGCATGCAGCTCGCTGTCAAGGCTGCCCACAAGAGCCCTCGATTCACCGAAGAAAGAGGAAGAAGCCGCACCGCTACTGATCGGATTCCGTTGCGCGTCGTGCGCCACAGTGGGCCATCTATGCCAAGTGTGTCACCCTCGTTCCAAACAACATACAGCTCGCCAGCTTTATCT